CCAAATATTCAACCTAACCTTGAAAAAATAGGATAGCTATTTGTTAATTTCTTGGCAAATTCCAAATCATGCAAACCTAAACTGAGTGGTGCCTGATGCCAAGAAAATATTCCAAGCAAAAAAAGATAGCCATGTGGCTTTAACAAAAAGAGCCACAAAATTTTGTGATTGTGGAATATTGAAAAAGTGTTAAATGAGATGATAGAGCGTAAATTTTCATTGTGGTAACAACAGAGTTGCCAACTCTCCCGATTTAGGCAGGGGACTCCTGATTTTCGACCGCTCTCCCGCTAACCCGATTTACAATATATTTCTCCCAACTTTTTCTTATTTTTATAATTTCTCAACGATTTTTATGGAACTTGGCTTAATACTTCGTTATATGAACAAAAAAAAAAAAAAAAAAGTCATTTTTGACATCTGAAAGCAATTGAATTTTCTCTAGATTATATCTAAAACAAAGAATATTTTGTGAAGAACGAATATTTACGTTTTTTTCTTCGGACCTCAAAAAAGCTTTCTGTTTTTTTTTTTTTTTTTTTTTTTTTCAATTCATTTTGCCATCATTCGATGTTCTTAACACAGTTCTAAAAAGCAGCATTTCATAAATTCATGTTTTGAAATCAATGATTTATGATCTCTTTAAAGACATTTTATCAAAGTTTGTAAAATCAGTCTGTGTTTTGTCTTGTAATCCTATATATGATTTGATTTATGGTGAAATAGATAATCAGAAGAAAGATGAAGATTTGGTATTAGGAGCTGCAACTACAAGAGTAGCGGAAGAACTTTCAGAAGACAAAAATTAGTTTTATCTTCATGTTAGAAGTTACTTCTGTCGAGTATGCGATTACATACTACATAAATTTCCAATCAACGATGAAGTGATTTTGCATGCTAAAGTTGCTGATGTTTCTCTCTAGCAAATGCATCTTTTTCTAATATAAGGTACTTTTTGAACAGATTTCCAGTGTTACTTCATTTAGTCATGAACGATGATGATATTGATGTTGCCACTTACAATATTGCAGTCGCAATTTTGCAGTTTACAATTAAAAAACTTGGATGAAGTTATAAAGATCAGCTAGAATTGACACCCGGTGGAGTTTAATTGGAAAACTGAAAGGTGCTGATGGAATTTTAAAATATAGTGAACTGTCTAGAATTATGTTGGCCATCTTGACAGTTCTCCATAGTAATGCGGAGTGTGAGAGGATTTTCAGAGTTGTTGCAAAAACGAGGACTAAATTTAGATCTAATATTAGTGATGACACATTAGAAAAACTTTTATTAGCGAAAGCAGGTCTACTTGGCAATTGCTAGAAACAAAATTATGAAGTTTCTTTCTTAATAAAAGCAAAATCTTCCGCTATTCATAACATTTGTACAAAAACTGGTTAAAGTGGTTTTTTTTTTTTTTTTTTTTTTTTCTCTCCTCGTTTGTTTTCTTAAACGATGCAAGTAATAAAAATGCTTTTTTATGTGTAAGGTTAAGGTATTTTTGTGTTGCTTGCATTTATGAATTAGTAACTATTTTAAGTTAATTCATTAATAAAAACTATATTTTTATCATTTAAAAAGGCTTTTGAACATTGTGAAAAATCTCCTGATTTTTGAGTGTCATAGATTGGCAAGTATGTAACAATGTCCCAGTCATCAGTTAGACAGCAACACCTGTAGTATTGTTTTAAATTATGAAAATATTACTATCGATTGTGAAGAAGTAATAAAGAAATTGTTGAAAATAAGAAATTCAATTGACTATTTAATAAAAAGTCTAGGCATAAGTTACAGGACCTGAACAGTGGAACTTTATAATTAAACAATAAATTATCACTGTTTATAAAATCAAAGCATTAACACAGGAAATAAAATTGCTTAAATAATTTGCATTTAAAAATTTTTTTAATCCGGTTTTTAAAAAAATTTTAATGAAACGGATGTTAACACTGAGCTTCCCCCCTTCCCTGTAAATTTTTGTCTTCTGAAGATCATAAATGTTTCATTATTTTGCAAACAACTTTTCATGTTTTTAATTTTATAATTTCTGCATGTAATCCTACTAGATATAAATTAATGATGTAAAATTTCAGACTTGCTTCGGTCCCAATTGATGCAGTCTTAAAAATGAAGCTGAACCATACTGTGTGGGTGGGTGCTTCAGCAGAATCAGAAGTATTGTGTTAAAAAGTTTTTTCAAATGGTGCAATTCTGAAAGTTCAATTAAAAATGAAATCATTCAACTGCTTGTATCATGCCGAGGGAAAAATACATGTCATTTGGTCATCTTTTTCGCTGTGTTCTACTGAACATTTTTTATTTCATACTTTGTAGTTGTGCATGATTTTCAGAAATTTTAATGCATGATAATTCAGAAAGAATAAGAGTCTGAATTTCTGGCTCAATATTTTGAGGCAGAGTAAAACTCACAATTTTAAACTTTCAATTTAATCACAAGAAGTGTCCACGTTTTCTTGCTATAATCAAGATGAATGGATCTGAATGATTTGCAACTTACTCTTCAAAACAAGCGAAGCGTCAATTTATTACATTGTATATATGATGTAATCATTTCCCCAGTAGTCATATATAAATTTTTTCTATTTGGCATACTGCTTACTGGCAGACAAGTGGTAAAGTTGTAATTTTTTATTACAAAAATGAAGGGCTATGGAGTTAAAAATGAAGATGCTGAGAAAATGAGCTCAATAAGAAAGTACAACTACTTCAGAAGTAGCAATACAGAAAGATTATGAAAAATATCTCTTCATGGAGGGAAAAAAAAATCTTTGATCTCTGATGTGTAAAATTTTTGGAAAATGGGGTTAAGATGTAAAGTTTTTATGAAAAGATATTAACTTGAAAAAGCAATAGCAAGCTACAATATTAGCATTTTCAGTGGTTATGCCATGCTTTACTTCAGAAATATTTTAAGATACAGGCAGCAATAAATTGGGTTAAAAAAATAGAAAAATTGTGAGTGGAACAGAGCTTAAGAGCTGAGTTGAATGATGTTCAGAGGCAAAGAAAAGCTATACAGCACAGCTCAGCAATAAACTGTTGTGAAAGACTTATACTGTTCACTTTCCTTCATACATATACAATAAAATTAAAGGTTTTCGTGATTTTATTTATTTAATATTGCACTTATCTTTTTCATTTTATATTTACTAACTACCATTAATTTAGCTTTATAAACTTGGACACATGTGTACGAAACCTGTATGCAAACTGCATGAAATAAACGGCAAAGTTTTATGCAGCTTCAGAAATCAAAAGTTAAAATTTTTAATCTTGTAGTAATATTCACAAGAGCTCAAAACACTGTTTAAGCAGCAGTATTAGTGTTTAGCTCTTTCATTGTGTGGCAATAAATCTGATGTATACACTACATTGACTTCCTTGTAGGGAATATTAAATTATGTGCATTTTCCCTCCATTTCATTTAAACTTATTTCCTTGAATTTCATTAGAGATATATTTCTCATTCAGCTAATTCAGCTCTCGCTTCATGACAAGGCAAAAATACATAAAACCTCAAAATATCTTTTTTAAAAATTGAAAAATATAAAACATAAATATAAGTTGAAAGAATTTAAAGAACAGCTTTTACAATTAAGATTAGTTTATGCAAAAACAAGCAATTCAACCAGTGAGCATTTTTTGGTGCACAAAACTGAAAGCTTATGTTTGGTCTCGCTAGGCAAAAAGATACTTGAAGGCATAGAAACTGACTTTATTTGTTCTGGGTGCTATGCTGAGTTAATATGCGGGATAATTTAATAACTTGAACGATAATTCCAGAAGGGATTAATATGGTAATACGCAATTATTCGCATGATTTAATTCGCAATTATAAAAAAAGATGTTATCTTTGTTGTTGTGAAGATTAGTTTGGCAACAAATCCACTGTTCTAGTTTCAAAAGTAAACAAATATGGCTGCTATGGTAAAAAAAAATTAGGCTTAGTTGCACTTGAACAATTTTTAAATTGTTGTTAATTCTATAACTTGCATGCAATTTACTAAAGGCATAAAAACCTTAATCAGAAGATAAGAACAACATAATTCAATCATTTGCAAAGCAAAAATGCACAATTTACTAACATACAAGAATTAAAAAATTGAGCTCATGAAGCTAAGTAACAGAATGGGTATATATGTGCCACTGTGGTAAATAAATATAGTGAACTTTAAAGAGTGCCAGTTGTGGTTTATGTGCTATCGACATTGTAGACTTAATTCAAAATTTGTTACTTATTAATTCAATATGTTTAAATGAAATGCAAAAAAGTTGTGTGTAATTTAATATTCTGTACAAGTTGTGTAGTCATGTGGTGTACATATTTGATTTTTTTACTTTATCGGGCATAATTTATGAAGCACATTCCTCTTTCATGCACTTTCAGCATATAGTCATTTGTTCAGGGTGTTTGCTGTTTAGGATCTTATCTTTCAAATTATATCTGTAATTTAAAAGATACAGCTATAACTTGATATACATCTATTCAGAATTCTGTTTGGTATATCAGCATAATACATAATCTTATCAAGCTGATAATGTTTTGTTAGATTTTTCATTATTGATAATGCACTCAAATATGATTGAAAATTTACCTTTCAACTGTAAAAGATCTGCTTATCCTAAAATTCTTAGTGCAATGTCTTATGATGTCTTTACCTTTCTTTGAATATCATTGGAAAAAGCAAATCTGGCGTAGTAACTGGTTGAAACAGAAAGACTTTTTGTCTAGAAATTTAGTAATTACATGTGAATTCACTTAATAATTGTATATTGATAGTAAAGTGCATGATTTCAAAATTTGTTATTCTTTTAGTCATTTTCTGTTCATCTATGTAATTTTATATTTAGTTATGTTTTTTTATTGGTATATTGGAAACTTTTATTTATAAAATAATTTTATTTAAGCTAACTTTTAATACCTTAATGTTAATGAATAAGGTAACAATTTTTATTTAGTCTTGATGATTACTTTGTAGGTGACAGGAAAACAAAGGTTCAAGTAGTATTCCCAGAAATGGATGATACATCTGGAATTGCTACTTCTTTACCTTCAGAGGCTTCGACCAGCACTGCCAGTGCAAACCCAATACCCTCAGAATCTTTAAGTTATCAACCTACCCAAGGCCACATAGAAATTTTTCCTAGTAATCCAGGCCATATGGAAGGTACATGTTCATTTTTCATAATCTCATACTTTTTAATTATCTGCACTCCCATCAAAAAGTCAAGAACTCATTGACAGCTGTAGAGAATCGGCAGCTAATGAGGCAGTTGGCTACCGACATTTCTGTGAGCTGATGTGCATGTGGCAAGACTCATTTTTAAAGTAGTGGTGTACCGTAAGATTAGAATATTTATGTAAGTATGTCCCATGCAATGAAAAGTGAAGCCATGAAATGTCTTGACTTTGATTTTAGTTTTGTTTACGAAAATTGGGGTTGTATGAATGATAATTTTTCATGATTGAAAGTTTACAAGCTTCGTGTTCTAATTTTAATACTTCTTTGGGATAACTTTTCAACTCGGTACATTAGTACAAAATCCGAAATCCGGACGTCCATTATCCGTAATGATCTCAGATCCAGACCTCAAAGCCACAGACATTTGTTTTTTTGTGTGTGTACTTTACACATGCACATTTGATTTTTCCTTCCGTAATAAAACATGTGGTGATTTTCACTTAAAAATTCCAATTCTTAATTTCAGTTACACACTAAATAAAATACCTCGTTATGGAAAAACAATCATGTAAGCATAAATTGTAAGATTAATAATGTGGCTGAGTATCTGCTTGGCATAATCTCAAAATGAAAAATTCACCTATTTTATATCCCTGACGCCGACCTGGCAAGTCATTATTTATTATATTTTGCTTTCATCACTGCATGTTTATCAATACATGATAGCTTCAGTAATAACCTCATGCAGCAATGTCTAAACTTTTTTTTATATTAGAAATTGAATAACAAGAGTATGTCAACCTATTGTGCTAACATTGCACTTGGTGATGATTATAGATTTTTAAATGTTCTAAGAAATGTTGGCGAGAAAAAATTCAACAAAAATTTCTTTTCATTTTGTTAATTAAACTCATTGGCCAAAAGATTACATTTAGTGTTATTTTAATTAAAAATAACTGATATGTTATTCACGATAAACCCAGAAGCGGCGGCAGAATATGTCGGCACCGGAAGACAGAATTTAAGGAAGCCGAAATTTTTGGAATTTGGGGGAGAACTGAACGGCAAAATTAAGGGATGAGAAGTTTTTATGATTTAGGATCCAAAGTTTAGGCGTGGTGAAAATTTAGAACTTAGGAAGGCGCTTTGTAGCAGAATTTAGCACCCATAGAGACTGTACCAGGCGGTATCTAGCGCCGGCCCTAGATAAAAGCCTTAAGTATATGTGCGAGTTTATTTATTCAGGACTTAGATTAGTTTTAAGCATGTGCAAGAAATAGACGTAGGTATAATAAATAACTGAACTAACATAATTGAGTACGCAATAGGAGCAAGACAAAATTTAGTGAAACAACTTGGCTTTCGTCGTCAGTTTTGTGATGCACAACCAATAATGTATAACAGATGCTATTAAGCTAGGCTAAAATTATATTTACTGATTCTAAGGCATTTCAATTAATGTAGCAGACTGTGCTGCTCCCTGATATTCTAATTTGATCCAGCTTATTTTTTGCAGACTGTTGTTATTACGGTAATTTTATAAAAACTAAGCTTGAACTTTCGATTATGCCAAAAAGAGTTTCCAATTCTGGAACTGCCAAAGGATCTACAAAGCGAAGCCATATTTCAATGTCTATTAAACAAAAAAGTGGAATTGCTGCCAAAAATGGATAAAGGCATATCTCAAAATTATGCGAGGAGTATGGCATTAGAAAGTCAACTGTGTATGACATAAGAAAAAAGAACTTTTTTAATTTTTTTGTGGAAGCAACTTAAACAACTTACATTGAAAGAAATTTTTAATAAAGTAAATAAATAAATATTAAGCTTTTTTTGTAAATTTTGATATTCTTTAGATCATAATTGTTCTTTATTTCATAAATTACAATTTCATATTTTAAATTGTATAATTTCTGCATACCAACTTACCAGATTTAAATTGATGATCTAATATCCAGAAAAATCCAGAATCGGCGAAGTCCCGACGAGTTTGGATTTCGGACTTTGTACTGTATATGGAAAAATCGCAAGAATTGCAAATAACTGTTTCAAATTTGATAAAATCTGTATATATGAAAATGTGTTGTAGGGAATTATTAAAAAAATGTATACATGATAAAACCCAGAAGACCATTGAGAGTGTTGATGGCATTTTTTGGCAAATTATTCTTGAAGTCACTTCTGTGTGTTATCTTAAAAAGGAATTTTACTGATGAAATGTAAAATTAACTGGCACATAGCCAGAATGATTCCTGCATCCCTGAATACTATAGTGGCTCGTGTTCTCCCATTGAAAGATTTCTTCTTCATTGCAGTAAAATAAACCAAAATTTTATAACTTTATCCAACTGGTATATGGCAGCCATGATAAGTCATGACTTCGCATTATTCTAACCTCTTACACTTAATGGTTCCATGAAAAAGCAGTCAATAAGTCATTAAAATGTAGGCCCATCAGCGGGAGAGCGATAAAGTCGCTGAACACTGGTAGTTCGGTCCGAGGTTCGAATTCCGCAAACGGGCTGGCTGCATGGGCGTTTTCGTGGTTTTCCCCATGTGTAACGTGTATATGAGCCAGTTTTCCTTAGAAAGTCCTCCATGAAGGCATCCCTTCCCTTAGGCAGATAGCCCTAGTGTGCTTTGCCATAATTAAATACACCATTAAAATGTAAAAAGCAGGAAACAGAATGGCTGAGTGAATAGAGGTTTCATTCAGCCGTTAAAAGCCCTTTTGGTTTTTTTTAACGATTTTGGTCTTTAATTTCAGACGAAAGTCTGACATTTCTTTAATATTTTTTGACTAGCAGTTTGCATGTTAATTAACATTTTAGAGGAGTAATTTTTGGCAGTTTATTTATGAATGTGTATTTGATTTGCTTAACTAATATTCAGGCTATGATTTGAATTTGTTTCTTATTCTAATATAAATAATTTCATTTGTCTCTTTCTTACAGAGTTTTTTTCCCTTCTGATTGTTTCAGAGCATTCAGATGTATATCAATTTTCTCTGTGAAATTAACTTAATGTGTTTTTCTCTGAATAGTTTTCAAATATCTTCAGCATTTTTACTCTTAGGAGTTGACAAGGGTGTTTTTCTTTTGGATTTTATAGATCCTGAAGCTGGGAAGGTTCTAGAAAGATTTATAGAAGTACAATTTCAAAAAAAAAAAAAAAAAAAGAAATTCCTGTGTCAAAATGAATAATATCTTCATGGTTTTAACACATAATTTACTTTTTTGTCGAAAATTTGTGATGAATTTCCTATTATTTGAAGAATTTTTAGAACAGAAAAAAGAAGAAAAAATTGGGGGATTTTGTACTTTTTGATCCTAAAAGTCTTACTCATCGCATTTGTCTTTCGTTGTACTTTTCACTAGGCACAAGCATAAAAAATTGAAAAAATTATTCCAGTCTTATCGTATGAACAAGTATACATACATATCTGTAGGAAAGAAATTTTTCTTTTCCTAAAGAAGTTGAAATCATCTTACACTTGTTATCATAAATTAAGGAAAAATCACGATTACTGAAAAAGTTACATGTAGAATTTTTGAAACTTATCCACAATATACAACACATAGTAAGGTATCGAATAACATAAAAATAAATTACCAGCTAATTATGGTAGTATCGAAATTAGCACATGTATAAAATGAACAAATCAAAGGTGTCAGTTTGCTATAGGAAAAGTACCTTCAATATGGAATATGGTCGCCTCTAGAAGCAATACAGCACATACAGCGATGCATGATGCTTTCAATTATGCGGCATATCAGTTCCATAAGGAGCGAGAGCCATTGCTCTTGCAAAGCAGTTGCAAGCGCGGCAAGGGTCTTGTTGGCTTTAGTTTTCCACGTGCAAATTTTGATTGGAGGTCGATCGGCGGCAAGCTAACGTGGTTGCCTATGACGTCAAGATCGGCGGTTGGCCGAGTATAATATATATGTACGCCGGTATCGACGAATCTTGTTTTTCTTGTTCTCTTTTGTGATTATCAGTTAGCATTATGCAGTTTGCTTCAATCAAATGATTTAAAATGTAAAGGCTACAGTGTAGCTCTTTTATTTTATTTATGGAATAAAGCAATAATTTTATTTAGTTTAGTCTTAGCTTTATTTAAGGGAAGCAAAACATGCTTTGCCTTTTATCATCACTGCCAACAGGTCTAAGGGGGCGGATTGAGAGCAGCTAGATGTCTCCCTAAAGAATCCCAAATGTGCTCGATAGGATTAAAGTGCGGGGATCAAGCTGGCCACTCCATGCGCATAATTGTTTCCTGTTGAAGATAATCATATATGATGCGAGCCCTGTGTGGTCTTTCATTGTCATCCTGTAACAGGAAAGCATCACCTATTGCCCCGGCATATAGGCGCACATAAGCATCAAGGATGTCATCTCTATAAACATGAGCGTTCAGGGGTTTCCTTGGAAAGACATGGAGGTCTGTGCGTCCACCCAAAAAGATGCCATCCCAAACAGACACTGCCTCTTCCACATGCATCTCTTTATCAGATGATAACGAGTTCCAGGTTCTTTCCATATCAAATAACGCCTTATATCGCTTTCTAGACTAAACCTAGACTCATCCGTCAAGAGAACAGCCTTCCACTGATCAGGCATCCAGTAAACATGTTGTCGTGCCTATTGCAAATGGTCTCTCCTATGGCGTGACGTGAGCAGCAGGCAAATGGCTGGTCGCCTCGCATACAGACCACCTTGAAGCCTTCTACCTACAGTTGATGTTGATACCAACCTTCCGGTGGCTGCCTCAAGGGAGGATCTAAGAAGAGTCAGAGTAGCGGTTCTATTCCTGCGTGCACATAATGTCAAATATCGGTCATCGTCGCTCGTCATAGCAGTTGGCCGTGCTTGGTTGAACCTCCTAGATGCCGAATCTGTGGTTTGAAATCGCCTCCTAAGTGTATGAAACACAGAAGGACTCGCATTTAGCCATCTAGCTACTTCTGTTTGGCTTTATCCTGCCTCTAGTCTCCCAATGGCTCTCCATTGTAGTTCTGCAGGCAAATGATGCCTGGAGGTCATTGTTACGAATTGGCTATCTTACATTTCTGATGTCACTATCACAGTGAAATATGTGGGCTTGCTCTCAAACATGGACTTTTATACTCCTCGCAGATTCATTCTGGGTGCAGCGCCACTAATTTGCATATTGCAGTTTTATTTAGCTACTCTTATTTGGCAACATATTCAAATTTTACACGGTTTGGCTTATTTTTGTGGGAGTTATCGCTGTTTTTGTGATTATTCCATAATTTATTATAATCAGTGTATATGTGTCGGACCATCCATGTACAGGGCTGACTCTAGGCTATTTACCACCTATTGCAATTATTAAATGAAATGTCTGAAAAATTTTCAAATTGAAATGATGCAGAAATATTTTATTGTGTTTCGTAGCTTTTAATGTATATTGTTTTAGAATCTGTTTCATGTCTATTCTGTCATTGGCCGTCTATCCCTCTCTCTGGGTCGACAACAGCCAAGCGTCTACTGTGAATCATGACAATTATATTTTTACTTCTCTTTTAACCCTCTCGCTGTGTATCCCGCATTTCAATGGGCATCATAGAAGTTGCAAGATTTGCGCAACCCGCGATTCCCACGGGGATTAATTTTTTCTGTCTGTTTAAATGTACAACCCACTTTTCTCATTCATGGCTTCATTTTGTTTTTTCTATGATGTTTTATTGTTTATTCAGACCTGGATTTGCTAACCATATACCCCCGAATCCCATCAAGAAAACGTGCTATATGTTGATCCCCCCCCCCCCCCAAAAAAAAATCTGGTAGAAATGCGAATTTAGTGCAAACATCGTGAGGCAGGATTCTCCCTCGAGCCTTGTTTCGAAGTTCATCCTGCTAAACATTTTCTAATAAATCTTTTGCAAATTTTCATTAGTATATATGCTTTACCTTTGTATTTCATAAAATTAATCAAGCCTAGATTAATTTTCTAAATTTTGCTTTTATATGATAATTTCTCAGTTTTCCAAGAAATTTTATTTATGATCTAATTTTATATGGGGGGGGGGCTTTTACAAAAAAAAAAGTCGTATATTTTAACTTTGAAATATATTTAGATTTGAAATGTGTAATAAAACAAATATGCAATTTTTAAACCTATTTTGACAAAATTATGCAGCGAGAGGGTTAAACTTATCTGCTTGCTATAGAATCTGCATAATTCTCTGAAGTGAGCAAGTATATAACAAATCGAGACATAAAAGAAAGAATCAGAGCCAGCTGTTAGTGAAACTTAAATGATTCATATCTTCAGCCTATTTTATTCTCTAATTTATTAGTAATTGTGTTAAATGTTAGATTATATTTAATAATTAATGTATCTTACCTTCAAATCTTTTATTCTTAAAATGATATATCAAGAAGAAAATTAATTGCTTTAGTTTATTCATATCCCAATTGCTGACAAGTTCTTAATTTTTATGTTCAGAAATATGTGCAAACCTTGTAATAAATTGAATCGTTGCCTTTTTTTTTTTTCCCCCTGGCTACAAGCAGCATTTTATTTTCTCTAACAAAATGCATTAAAAATTGCACAGTTTATGCATTGCACACCAATAAGTAAAGCTATTTGCTGTTGCAAACAAGATAAAGCTGTCTTTAAACCAATTGTCAACCCGCGTTTGCTTGCAGTTCACATAAAGTTGTTTAAAAAGTATAGCTTCATAGAATGATAATTTTTGCATTCTCTGTTGTTGGACAAGTGTCGTTTATCTTCAGAAACACGAAGCTTTCATTTTCGCTGCCTAGTAAACTTCACAATCCCATTACAATTCTTTATTTGTTTTTACAAGTATATAACTACTTTTTCACAACTTTTCAGAGATGTGGATAATCTGGAAGTAATCCTGTTGCTGCTTTACTTGTTTTTAAAACTGTGTCATTTTAATCCTATTTATGTTTTGAAATATATGGTTTTGTTAATATTATGCAGTTCTTGGAATGTAATTTTATACATAGCTGTGTGTCACAATTTTTAGCAGAGTCTGGTTAATAAAGGCTATGAAAATAAGATTTATTCATGTGATTTTGCAATATGAAATACTGTAATTTAGGTTTTTATCCTGATATATGACTTTAAAATATGGTGTTTCCTTGCTTTTCTTTAAATTATTAGGCATTCTAAATGGGAAATGAAGATGATTGTTTTGTATATTTAAAGATACTAATATTCCTGTAATATTTATATGTAGTAAAAAAATTTAATGTTTTATTCTCTGTTCTTCTAATGAAAATTTTTCAAATATTATTCTTGCAGAAATGGCACCAGGAGAAAGGACAATTCCATTACAAGAACTAAAAACAATGCTTCGCCAGCAATTAGAGTATTATTTTTCTAGGTAATGTCTTTCATACAAAGTGATAACTCGCAATTGAAATATTTTTGTTCATGTCATATATGAACTTAAATCTGTGCTTCTTAAACTCTGTTATGCATTTTTGTTTATTTTTTGTATCTATGTGTGTTTAGGGTATAAAGGAATTAATGGTCACATTTGTAAGGGGGTGATATAGCATATGGTGAAAGTAAAAATTTTTGTAATATAACATATGGTAGAATTTAGAAATGGGAGTTTAGAAACACTAAGTATTAAGAACAGGGTAAAGAATAGGTTGCTTCAATCATTTTAGCTGCTCCTATTTGCCAACTCTCTTATTATTTCACCATATCTCCAGTAATTACAAATCTGTCAGTTTATTGGATTAATGAAACTTAAATTATGCAGATTTCATTGTCCCATCCTTAGTAATTTTTTCTTATTAAATTTTATTTTATCTGAGTTTTTTTAATCTTTTGTAAACAGTATAGAACTTCATATGAAGATTCAGCTGATGTTTAATCAATTAATATTTGTATTTAATTTTGTTTTGAAAATATGATACATTATTAAATTTATCCATACAGTAGTATGTGCATCAATCACTAATTTTATTTTCATCAAGTTTAAAAGTACTTTGGTAAATCGAAGCTTTCCTTCCATGCTGTGGAATTCATGGGCAGTGCTGTGCAGCCTGGACTCCTAGTTTCGCCATGAGAACCTCCTGGTTTTTCATATATAAAGATTAGCAGCTGAACTGTTGCTTTTACATATTCTGTCTTCCCTTAAAGTTGTGGCCATCTGTTCTGTTACAACCTATATATCTGTGTATATATACATATTCACACGTACACAATTATATAGATATTTTTCTTTTTTAACAGAGAAAATTTGTCCACTGATGCCTACCTAATGTCTCAAATGGATAGTGATAATTATGTCCCAATCAGTACTATTGCTAAATTTAACCAAATCAGGCGCCTTACAGAAGATATTAATCTTGTTGTTGAAGTTTTAAGAGGTAAGTTATGGCATTCATGTATATTTGTAGTGCATTGAGTAGAATTGCTCAAGTAAAATAAATTTGCGGTTTTTTTTTTTTTTTTTTTTTTTTTTTTTTTAAGGAAATAAACATTTCTCATACATTTGCTTGCAAAATAATTTTCACTTTATGTTGAAGTTCTGAAAAACTAATAGACAGATTTTAATAAAATATGGGATGCGTATACATTTATAACACACATGCCATTCAAAAGTTTTGTAGATATGTTTATCAATAAAGCTCCTCGTGCAGGAATGTTCAAAATCCACATTCTGATTTCTAAATGAGACTTAATATGGAGTCTCATATAGAAATAACAGATAAATCTTGATAGGGATGGCAAGACATGCTGTATAGGATTAGGCAGGAGATCTGGCTCCGGTCGATGTAGCTAATATTCTCACTTTCCAGGAAATCGTCCATTAACACAGGGTTCGTAGCGGTTCTTATAAGTTCTTATATTTGAAAATAAAATATAAAGGCCCTTATAGGTGCTTACTTTTTCTTTAAAGCCCCCCCCCTTTTTTTAGTGCTTACTTTTTTGCTTTTAGTGCTCCTCTTTTTTTTTTTTTTTTTTAAATGAATGCGCTATTTTCCCGTACCAAAGCCGACTAAATAACAACTTTTCTTCAATATGGAATGTCAAATGGTAAGTCATACTCCCGAAATAGTTTTTCCCCTTTCTCTGCATTACGTAACCTTTGGTGCGGGCGAGAGTACAGACATGTGGTGCCCGTCGTTCTATTGGTCAAAGAATTGCGAAAGCGGTAGAAATTTCCGATACATTCGGTATTCTTTTCCTCCCACCCCAAAATACTACACACGTTTGAGTTTCTATCAAGATTTTAATAATTTAAATTCTCTTCCGCGTGGTTAGTTCATATTCGCGTTTATTATGATCGTTATGCTTATATTATGAGCCTACGTATGAATATTTATAAAAATATAGTTGCAGTAACTGCTGAAGTATAGATAAAAATGGTTGTGTTTTAACTTCCAGAAACAGTACGGAGGTTAAAATTTTATTTTTTTTGGACGTTCTCCAAGGTGGGAGTCCTTTCTCCGCAAAATCGCGAATATTGAAACCGTCACAGTTCGCTGCAAAATAAGCAACGTTTTTTTTGGGGGGGGGCTTTCCAATCTAGATTTTGAATAGGATTAAAAGTTCTGCGGTACCAACAAGCGAAGAATGATCTATTTCGGAAATTTAATGCCGGTTGAAATTAGAATGAAACACTCTAGTATTTAGTTCTTTTTTCTCCCAATACCGCTTGTGATTCCGATTGCGTAATATCAGTAGGGAATTACGGCGCACATATTGCACAATAATGTTTGTATTTTTGCAGAGATAATTATTTTGATGTTCATCGAGATTTGTTTATGAGCAAAAGAGTTTTACCTGCGTTTGCTAAGCGGAATATTTTTTAGTTCGGTTGGTTTATTTTTATATGATGCACATATTGAAATGTCAAAAGCATTTATTTAGCGGAAAAATCTAAAGAGTGGCTACAGTCTACCCCCTTCCGCTCCTTCAAGTTACCCTCGACTGTCCGATTATTCGCTATTTCCAAGTATGCGGGTTAGTTAAGCTTTTACTGTTAACCCCTTCGAGCCGGGTAGCGAAAGCACACGCTTATCGCGGAGCCGGCACTATCTTCCGTGAGCGTCTGTCCAGGGCCAGGGGCTTTTTTGCTACTAAGCCTTCGAGTAGAAGGTCTAATGTACGTGTATCTGAAACCATATGGACATACAGTGACATCTTGTGGCAGAAATTATAGTTTGCATGTTGGCCGGTAGGTAAGTGTGTTTGTTGTTGGCACGTATACGTGACAGTCGGCACGAAGGGGTTAAAGATGACTGCATGAAGCAAATTTCTGTCTTCTGATTTCGAAATTTTCCTCTTTTTTACTAAATTACTTTGCTTGCAATATCTGTTAACGAGAAAACTGATATACAAGAAAATTTGTAATGTTCAGAATTTGATTTAAATTCTAATATCAATATGAGTGGAAAATAAATTGTATTTATTATTAGGTTCCAAGCGAATACAATAAATATGCCTTATTATATTTATTTTCTTATTTTGAACTGAAATTTTCATCATTAATCTTGTAATATAGTTTAGGTTCTTCATAGTTTTTGTTTCTCTCATTGTAAAAGTTTGTAAATTGAAATTATTTAAAATTAAAAACAAAAAAAAAGTATTATTTTCCATGGTTGGGTAATGCTTATTCTCTCTTAACAATACTTCATTTCTTATTTTAATTACAAGTCTAATTTAAGGTGATGCAGTTGTAGATGTAATCAAGACTCCAACTACACGATTCTCCGTATTTCTACGGGAAATTCATTCAAAAACTACGAGCTACGAAAAGTATGGAAAAAACTACGGATTTTACCGAAACCAGAGCAGGAGAACCAGTACGCCAAAACGGAACCAACTATTCATCCGATGTGGCTGAATACTCATTTATATATATCACGTGTTGAGTGCGTTCCTAGTTTTGAAGAATTAGCCAATCGTAGATCGTACTCAACTGTTAATGACTTATCAATAGGTCCACCCAATTGTCTGTCTCCCAGGTTCCTCGCTGATGCGTGTTTAGGCTGCATTCGGCTGCATTGTGTAGTTTACGGCAAGAGCTTACGTGTGTCTTGTGAACTGTGAATCAGTGAAAGAGATTTTTAATCATAATGCTGCTCGACGAAGAAGCCAAAATTATCAAAGCAGAAGTTTAAAGATTCATATTCTTCAGAATTTCCATGCATTAAAGCGTCCTAAATTTCTGTGAATCACGCACACTGCAGTGCATGCACAAACTCTCAGTTGCTCATGGCGGAAAGATGACTGTAAACGGCATGTGTTTTCTCAAAGCATATAAACTTGGCACCGTAAAATCTAAAGAAATAACAAATTTCTAATAAAGATGATAAACAGATCCCTATAAAAGCCGAATGCTATTTTGTTCATTTTTTAATTGAACATAATCTACCGCTTTCTGTTTCGGATCATCCAAAGAGCTTTTCAAAGCAATGTTTCCGGATTCTGCCATACAAAAAAAATTTAGCTGCGTCATACCAAAACTGCTGCTATTGTGAAAACGCTTGCAGAAAATACTGTTGTCGCTATTATAAAATCCGTGTGCAATACATCATTTTCTCTTAGTACTGATGGAAGTAATGATAACAATGATAACAAACTGTACCCATTGATTATAACATATTACAGTAAAGGAAAGGGAGTGATAATTACATCATTAATTTCTATTTTAGAATGCACGAATAATACCGGAGAAGGTATTTTTAATTGTATAAATGAAAACCTTAAAAGCATAGGTTTAGAATGGAAAACTTGCTTATTGTTTTCTTCAGATAATGCTAGTAATATGATTCTAAAGTTTAAAGGTGTAGCATCATTTATCAAAATGCATCAACCAAGTATAATCACCCGAGGTTGTCCGTGCCACTCTTGCATATAGCTGCAAAAAAAGCTACTGAAAAATTAATTGGCTCAGAAATTAAATGTTGATAATAATATATATTTTTACTTGGAAAAATTCGAACGGAAGCATAGCTTTCAAAGTTGCTCAATTTTGGGACAGAATGCGAAATCTCGTAAAATTTTGAAATATTGCAGTACGAGATGGTTGTCTCTTTTAGAATCTATAACAAGGATTTTGGAACAGTGGGATGCTGTGATAAATTTTTTTTTGGAGATAAACCAGATAACAGTGAGAATGAAGGAAAGAGATTGCAAACATTAAAAAATTTTGCAGTCACCGACCACCAAATTGTACTTGTTATTTTGAAATACTTTGCCTTGTTTATAACAGTATATTAATTTGCAACAACAGCTCCTTATATACATAAATTGAGAAGAGAACTTTTTGAACTTTTAATGAATTGATTTGTTAGATTCGTAAAACCATCAGTAATTTTCTAAAGAAAATGAAGATGTTACTTTAACGTCTATTCCATTTTCAGAAGTATAGTAAACAAAAGAAATGAATTTAGTGATTGGTGCGGAAACAACTATATTAAAAAATGCCAAGTTGAATGAAAGTGAAGTGAAATCATTTTCAATTCTGTGCGAGCTTTTTTTGTACTGCATGTTCATATATAATTGATAAATTTCCACTGAGTGATCCATTTCTAAAACATGCTAAGTTTGCTGACATCACTTGAGAACTGAAGTCTTATTTTCATCTGTTTCTTACTTGATGAATACTTTCCATCCATTATTGATGAAATGTCTTATCAAGTAGAAATTGAATTTTCATGTATCAATAGATGATTGAAAAGAAATTGTAGATTTGCGATTGATATAGCATGGGGAAATTGCCAAATTAAAAAATATGAATGGGTGTATAAATACAATATTGCCTTTGTAATGCTTGCTGTTCTTAATAATACCTCATTCAAATGCAGCTTGCGAAAGAAATTTTTTATTGTTAAAAAAATCAGACGGAATTTCGACCAAATTTAGGTCTTAAAACTCTTGAAGCAGTTTTGATGAAAAAATAAATATGCAGGCAAATGAAGAACTGTGTTATAAAAAACATTCCTCAAATCAGAACTTAAGCTGCTAACATCTTACATATAATCTTACATTCATAAATTATGCGGATTTTTGTTTATACTTATATGTATCATTCTTGGTTTAAATTTTATTTTCCTGAGAAATCATATCCAGAATAAAGATATGATTTATACTTCTTCTGATTTTTTCTATGATTAGTAGTGATTTGAAGTACTTTTATTAGTGAATGCTTGGGAGTTAAAAGAATTTCTAATTAAATATGCATATTTACAAGGGTTTTTAATTATTCAGTTTTATATATATGTTTTAAATGTAAAATGATTACAATTAATTATTATTTAAAATTAATGAATGGTTAATTACAACATACGCTGCGCGCACATTTTCAAAGTTGTAAAAATGTAGTTCGCGCGTTGACTACTGACAAGGTTTGCTGAAG